GGGGAGACGGTGGTGGGTCTTTTCTTGTTTCCTCTAATTGGGGCCCCAGAACCTGCAGGAGGAGAGTCAGGGTCAATTTAAAAAAATACATTACCTTTGAAGCAGACTTGAACCCAAGACCTTTGGGCTTTAGATACTATGCTACCATGGCTCACTACAGAGTTTATTACATCAATACATAATATGGGGAACATTGTTTTGAATTTCTGAAACATAAGATTGTTAAAAACAGGTCAGTAAACAATGTTTGCAGGGGAACCAGCACAAAACATTGGGTGTAGGGGAGGCTTAGACACCTTACACATTTCTGTGTAGTGGGGGCCATCAGGTGCCTAATCCTTGTTTAAATGCTTTAAAATAATAATGATGAGCTAAAATGCTAATAAATATATTTCTTATGATATTATACTATACATAATAACTTAAAATAGAGAAGTTGTTTACATGTTTGGGGTGGGGGCAGGGCAGTTTACCATCCCTTACAAATTCAGCGGGAGTAACAAAGGTATCCCTCCCCTTTTCATAAAATTTTTTCAGTGATAATTTAAGATGCCTAACCCCCAGGTTCTGGTGGCCCTGAATGTTTGCAGTATCTCAAGAGACAGGTATAAACAGAAGTTATTGTGTTAACAAGTGGGCTGTCAGAGCTACCAGGTGTAGGATAAATAGAACATGGGTCATGTGGTAGTTGTGCATTTAATAGTGTGTTTGTTTTTCTAGATAAGCTGCTGTGTTGACAAGAGTGGTGATAATGCTAGGTTAGATAGATACTCCTGTGGGGTGTGAACTGAAGGCCCTTCAAATATATTGGGTTACAGGATTGTGGAATTGAGTGACTAGCTTGTTTCGTCACAAGTGTTTCTTTTTTTGATTTGGTAATCATTTTATAAGGTAATTGGTTCCAGTAATAGTGTTGTGCTAAAAACTGTTCTGTTTATCCTGGTAACCTTCTTCAGCATACCAAGCACTGGAGGTTCACATTGCTGTAGATACTAGTCACTTCTGTTCATCTTCATATTGGCCATCTCTTTTCTATTGTGGCTCAAATTGTTTGCAGGTCTTCCTATGTGTATATCATGACTGTTCAGCTTAGTTTACTCAAGGGCTTCTTCTTCTTCTTCTTCACTTCTCTTTTACCGCTGTGGGTGTCGAGGGAGATATAAGGTTCTGTTTCTGGCTCTTCTGGCCACCTTCGATCATAGGCACATCGTGCTGTTGTAGAGATTCTCTGATGTTATCCTTCCATATTGTTCTTGGTCTACCTCTTGCTCTACGACCTTCTTCTCTTTCCATGTATGCTTTGTATGGTATGGTGTCACAAGGCATTCTCTCTAAGTGGGCAAACCATTTCACTTGCTGTCTTTGTATGTAATTTAGAATTGGTTCTGTGCCGACTTTTTCTCTTATGATCTCATTCCTGATCTTATCTCTTATGGTCACTCCTACAGCCCTTCTCAGACATCTCATTTCCATGGTTACTAATTTTCTTTTATGGTTTGTTGTGAGTGACCATGTCTGGCACTGGTAGCACAGAGTTGGAATAAATATGCTTTGAATAAGATGTCTCTTTGTGCTGATTGGGATTGTCTTATGCTGTAAGGGGGGGGGGGGGGGGGGGGCTAGCTGTCCCAATACTTGGTTTGCTTTACTGCATCTAATGGTAATTTCTTTATCCAATTTCCCTTCTTCAGTAAATGTAGTTCCCAGATATTTCAACTCAGATGCCTGTTTAATGCCTTTGTTCTCTATTGCTGTGTTTAGATCTGTCTTCTTTTTTCCTATTGACATTACTTCTGTCTTTTCAGTGTTGATTCTCGTATTATTTGTTTTACATTCTTCATTCATGGATGTTAGATGTTGTTGCAATTTCATGGCTGTATCTGCCATCAAGACCTGGTCAACTGCAAAGAGTAATTCGTTGATCTTACTAACATTTTCATTCATGGGCTTGGCATTCTTGCATATACTGTCGATGTAGGTGATAAACAGCAGTGGTGATAAGACACACCCCTGTCTTACTCCAGATGTTACTGTGAATGGATGAGATGTTCCCTGATTTATTCTAACTACACTTCTACAATCCCTGTATAAACTTTTGCACACTTCGATGAGGTGTTCGCTTTCTCCATATCTTGCCATTACTTTCCATAATAATTGTCTGTCGACTCTGTCAAATGCCTTCTCCTGGTCTACGAAGGCCACAAATAAGTTCTTATTGTGTTCAATGTTCTTTTCTATTAACTGTTTAAGTTTGAAGATTGCATCTGTGCAGCTTCTATTTCTCCTAAATCCCATCTGTTCTTCTGCCAGCTGTGGTTCTTTTACTGGTCTCAGTCTTGTTTCTATTATCTTGGCATACATTTTGCCAACATGGCTTAAAAGAGAGATGCCTCGGTATTGACAGCATTCTCGTTTGCTTCCTTTGTTCTTCCACAATGGTATAACTATTGCATGTTGCCAATCAATAGGGGCAGTTAGTTGTACCCATGATGCTGCATTAAATATTCTGTGAAGCCATCTGATGCTGCTTTCACCTGCTGCTTGAATTATTTCTGTTGGTAATCAATCAGCTCCTGGTGCTTTATATTTGGGAGACTGCTTAATGACTTTCTATTTCATCCATTAGTATGTGTGGTTCTAACACTGTTGCTCTGTGCTCTTCAGTTCTTTCCTGATGATCTCCTAGAGGATTAAAGAGCTCATTGAAGTATTCCCTCCATCTTTCTACTATCTCGGGTGGATCTATCAATGGCCTTCCTGTCTTATCATTAATTATTTCAGTGGGGTTGTAGCTCTCATCTCTTTTCCGCATATTTTTAACTACTTTGAAAAATTTTCTGCTGGCTGTTTTCTCATTTTCTGCTAATGATTCATCGAAACGTTCCCAGGATGCTTGTTTTGCTTTCTTGACACTCCTGTTGGTTTCTCCCCTTTGCAGTCTATAGTTTACATAATCTTCTTCTTTCTTTGATTTTATCCACTCAAGGGCTAACATTTTGAAAATGGGGATCGGCATGGGCCAGAAACCCCAGCCTAGGCATAGAAAGCTTATTCATGCAATACTGTTGGCAGTGATCGGCATGCCACTGCCACCAGTTGGAAAGCCCTTTGTATAGTATTTTTACACCATCTTCTTGGTCTGCCTTGTGGTCTGCTTCTATTCCACTTTTGTGTACTCTGTCATTTGCCGTTATCTTTATGTGCCCTAATTACTGCAGTTTGACAGTCCTCATAATAAGAGGAATTAGACAACTATTATAATTCAGTCAAATGTCTCTCAGTTGAGTAAATTTTCTTTTATAATAATTACAGTTTAATAGCGGAAAACTTTCTTTTTCACCCCCCACTAATTATAGTTGGGAATACAGTTTCCGTTTAAAAAAAAAAATAACTGAACATTCAACATAAAGTTTATGAGAGCCTGGATAGTTTAGACATTTAACGGGTAGGCTGTGAGAGATTCTATGGCAGCAGCTATGGCAGAAGGGATAGATCATGCGTTTATCAAACATAAGCTGACTCGCTTGGATACACTTGTCAGTTTGGCACTAAAGTATGGTGTTGCAGTAAGTTTCCTCAATTTTATTGTTGTATTTGCTAATTCTAGAAATGTTTACTTACTTACTCTTTCTCTTCCCCCCCCCCCAACCCCCTTTCCATCTGACACAGAAATTCTCTCCATCCTATCCTCTCACCTCTCCCATCTCTCTCCCCCCCCCCCCAGCCCCCTTCCATCTGTCACAAAATTATCTCTATTGTCTCCTCTTACTTTCCCCATCTTTCTCTCTCTCTCTCTCTCTCTCTCTCTCTCTCTCTCTCTCTCTCTCTCTCTCTCTCTCTCTCTCTCTCTCTCTCTCTCTCTCTCTCTCTCTCTCTCTCTCTCTCTCTCTCTCTCGATGTGATTCAAAGGTCAAAAACATTCATTTTGTAATAGTTAACAGATGGGGAAGAACAATAACTGTTTTAACAAAATCTTCTTTAACATGTAGATGCAGTAAATAAATATGGTGAGTCACTTGGTACTTACAGAGTTAAATGTTTGGATGAATTCTGCAGCCCAAATGACATATCCTGGTTGTCATAGGTCCTGTCTGAGAGAGGCAATCATGACAACAGTAAAATCATATGAATACTGTACTTCACACAAAAACATCCACATCCTACATGATCTGAACATCCTCGAAAAAATGGCTAGCAAGCAGCATCTTGTCCTGAAAGCTGACATATTGCCCATGTTAAACCTCCCGGTGGCCTAGAATAAATGGTGATCTGGTTTCCAGGAAATGAGGCAGAGGCAGCTGTGAAAGTGCATAGAGCTGGAGAATTGGCCAGAGAAGGAGAGACTTTCAGTGGTACCATTTGAGAGTGATCTTCTTTCTGTAAAGAACCTGCTTGATGTTAATGACTGTACTAATTGACAGGAATGAAATACACAGTCCTTGCCAGAGACACGATGCGTAGTTGGGGTGCTTTAGTATGCTGTGTCTAAATGTATGCCTATAAACATACAGAACATTTTGACTGATGCACATGGTTTATTCTTTGGTAGTTAAAGGGTTTATAATGTGGTCCCCCATGCACTTTTTCAAACTGGCGTGCCGGCTCTTTAGGGTACACAGGAGACTTGCTCATAATATTTAATCCAGTGGTATAGACATGCTTTGAGAAGACTTTCACGTTTAATGATAGTTCAACTTCACTGTACAGGCACATGTTGATAGTTCATGGTTCGCCTCTAAATGTTGCCACATTTAAGCTGCATGTTATATTCAGCTAGGACATCGCTATCGTTGTCATTTCAAGTCTTGTCCTGATCTGTTTGGTACAACTGCCATCGTTACATACTGCAGTCATTTGCTAATGTTGTGCCATAGTCTTTTCTGCTATTTAACCTGTGCATTACCAAAGCAAGCCTCCTAATTTCTTGTGAACAATTTCTGTTTAGTTAATGACTCAGTATTCTTATTTCTGATATATTTCTTATTTGTTTACTTTCACAGATCCAAGATTTAAAGAAAGAGAACAAACTCTGGAACAATGATCATTTATTTTTGAGAGAAACCTTATTGATTCCCCTGACACCAGAAAATGAGGGCTTGTTGGATGAGAACGACACAATTGTCATCTGTGATGGTAGTTCTTCCAGCACCACTTCGCCATCATCCCCACACTCACGTCTCCCAAATGGTGATCTCCTGGACTCCTCCCTGTCATCGTCATCCTCGCAGAAGTCTTCAGGAGTGCACCACAGTGGTAGCATCCATGTAGGAATGTCTAATGGGGCTTCCACTTCATCCTGTTCCAGTTCGAAGCCCGCCTCATCATCATCATCCAGTGATTTCTTTGCCAAGTATGACACCAGTATTGCCAGGTTGAAAGGAGATGTGGCCAAAATGGAGAAGAATGCCGCGTAAGAAAATCAGTTCCTTTTTATTTTGTTTCTTGAAGTTGTTGTTTTTGGACCCCTTTACATTAGAATTAGCCTATTTAACATTTAATTTTCTGTTTAACTTACTTAATATGTGTGTATTTAAAACATTACTCACTATTTGATTAATTTGCTTGTTTTATTGTTATAGAACATTATTCTGTTCAAATCTGTCTTGCTATTTTGATTTTTAAAATTTTTTATTTCATTGCATAATTCTGTTCAATTCTGTTTATAAAAATTTGCATGTTTAATAGTTGCAATGCATTATTCCGTCCAAGTCCATTTTTCAGTTAACTTGTTTTATTATCATATTTCTATTCCATCCTCTTTTCAGTTTGCTTAAATTCTCTTTTAACTGCTTTGCCCTTTTACTATTATGTTTTCATTTACTTTGTTTTATTGTTACATTCAGAATACTACTTTTTTCTGTTTAACATTTTCTTGAATTTTCCTGATTGCTTTGTACTTTTACTTTTTACTGTTTAATTGTGCCTGACCTTCTTATTTCGCTGACATTGTTTGTTTGTTTGTTTATTTTTATAATTCAAATTTTTTTCTGTGAGTTTAAAAAAAAAAAAAACACTCACCAGCTCATTTCCCTCTTTGTGTTCTTTTAAATCTGTTTCCTCAATATTTGACTCATGCTTGCATACTTTGTGGTTACATTTGTGGTAACACATTACATGTACTTGTGGTAGTTGTTGCTGGTCTGTATTCTGTTGCACAAGACCCACCTGGATGGCATACAGTCCTCAGACATGTTGGCAGGCCTGCTGGGCAGCAGAGGTTGCGCTGGAAGAGACATGGAGGCAGGTTATAAGGGATCATGTGGCCAACCCCACCACAAATGTCTCTTTAATCTGTTGTTTGCATTGCTGAAGAACTTTTTCGGGCTATAATCGGAATCATCTGCCATCTTCCTACTCATAATCGTTAACTCCTTTTCTGTTCTTTTTTTTAATCATAGTCAATGCTGAAATAGTCTTCTTCACTTGAGATGGACGAATGATATTGCAGCTACTCTATATTTCACTTCAGTGTTGGTTTGAAATAATAATTGCTGGAGACGCACTACTACCAAGAAGTGGGGGGGGGGGAGGGGGTGGCAACGTCCTTATAGTTTCTAGGGCTAAAGGGACTTGAGCCTTGTTTAAGTGCGCAATGATGATTATTATTGTTATGTGCTGCATTTAAAAAAAAGGAAATATAATTGAAATAATATATACACACTTTCTTTCTTTACAAGAGAACATCTGTACATATATTTCCCCTTCAAATAATATGTGAGGGGGTTCAAGGTGCCCACCCCTTTCCCATCTCAGCTCATGTAAAATGCTGTATTTGCTTGTTGTTTTGTTGGCCCCTTTCCACTATTCCAGATAGTAGTGTTATATTGTGCTTGTTTTGCTCTCATCTATAAAAGATGCAGAAAATCTAGCTGATTGGTTTTCGAAAACATCTCTTTGATGTTGACAAGAAGTCCCTCTCCAGTTTCGCATCACCTTTTCCTATATTTTATGTGCCTCCTCGGGGACCAGAATACTCTCCCTTTTGTTGCTGTGGTTTTTGTTGATATAGGCTGCTGCCGAAACGTAACGTCGTTGTTCCTGTGTGTTTTCCCCCCTTCCTACCTATGTTAAGCTTCTTAGTCACAGTTGAGTGAATTACTTTCTTGTTTTAGGAAGGTATGGGGATTGCTAGTGTGACCTGCAAGACTTGCTCACATTAATTCTTTTATTCCCAAGGAGTTTAGCATGAGATGCCCAAAGGATAGTAAAGGTAAAGTTCCTTTTACCACGTCTTTTAGGTGTATAGGGCATATAGGGCTAGACCAATATTTTGTATCGAGCAATCGGCACAAGATGGGTGATGTGGTCAGCATCACGTCGGCCGTCTTTACTTCCCGGGACTGCACCCGGCACCCACTCAAGACTGGCTCAACCTGGAAGTCGAGGTAATTTTTGAAAAAAGTCTGGCTTCGTCAGGGAGCAAACCCACAACCTTCCGATGTGCACATGAGCGTCTAGCCACTACGCCACGGCGACTCCCAAAGGGTAGTAAAGAGAGACTAAAATCTGAGCATCTTGCGTTCATATGGCTTCTAGGTAGGAACCTGTGAAAATGTGATACGTTCCTTGGGACTGAAATAGTAAAAAAGAAAAGTCTTCCACAGTTTAAGCATGTGATTTCAGGGGGATTATTGCCATCACATATATTAAACTGCTACTTATGTCACTCGGCTCTTAACCTGTCTGCAGGAGTTATTATCCCTTATCACCGGCACTTATTGTTCTAGAAGAAAGGCCCTGCCCCTGCTTCATATACATATTCATAAAATCTGCCTCTCTGAGGAATAGAACCAAAGACCAACAAGCAGTTGGTTACACAATTTTTAGACAAACATAATTTTGTGACATAGTAATTCAGTTTACTAGTCTCCTAAATAATTGTATGTGCATTCTGGCTATTGCAGTGCATCTCTGTCATCTGCAAGTCCTTTTTAAAAAAATAAAATAAAAAGCTAAATTATTGTGTGGGTTCCAGTCCTCCTTTTGGTTAAAACAAAAGGTATTAACCCACCCCAATTCAAGTCTGATGTAGGAGGCAACTAATTTTGGGGCGTTTCCTTCAAACTCGAAGTGCATCTCTCTGAGAAGATAGGAACCAACAGTCTGCCTACAAATAATCCATGTCTGTGAAAATGGATGCACTTGCAAAACCAAAGTCCAGAGTTAGATTTAAAAAAAAAAACTAGAACTTTCCCCGTAAGTTTACAGCAAGGAAACAAACTTATATGTGGTTTTTGTTCCTGCTTCCTCATTTCACCAGCTTTTAAAGAATTCTCAGTCTTTTGTTATTTTCTTAACAGGCTTTATGTTGTGTTCAATCAGTGTTTGTTTTCTAAATAATCTCTTTTCACTTTCCGAACCTTTCTTCATGCTGATTATCTAATTTTACTAGATGCTTGGCTTATAGTAGGGCTATTCAACTGGGGTCCCACGGGCTACATATGGCCTATGAATCACTGCCAGTGGTATTGTATTAATGATCTTTCTATGGTGATGGTTCCCATTTTCAAAATGTTGACTCCTGAATAAACTTAGTTGAATAGCCCTGACTTATAGTCATTGTTTGTGATTTGTCTGATCTTCTGTAAAAGAAGTACTATTTTATGTAGTCCTTGGTTATATACATATTTTTTTTTTAAATTGTATCTTTGTGAAAGCAGTATTAAAAGTACTAAGTAGTACTTAGTTTATATACATTTTATATACACTTGTTAGTGGTCTCTCTGATCTGTGAAAAATTAGCTGCGTATGCTTGACAGCAGGCATGTCAAACTGGCGACCTGTGTGCTGCATATGGCCCTTTGCAAGTGCAACTGCGGCCTACACAAACGAAACATTCTGCAATAATTTATATTAAATGACTCCAGGTAGTTGTCATGTATGGCCCTGATGACAACAAAAGTTGACCTAGATGGCCCTCAGAGGACCCAGCAGTTTGACATACCTGCATTACAAGGACTGCAGGACCTTCCCCCAGCATTTGTTGGCTATTTGGTTTCACTAGGCAGTTTTGACATTCACTAGTTTGCTATTGGTTTTTGAACTGTCACCTCTTGGTACGACTGTCAAAATGTATGCAGAGCAGTCTGCTGGTAGATTATCTGCAGTTGGAATTGAACCGGGTACCTTGAAATTACAAAGCATGTTCGCAATGCCTATACCACAGATGCTGATGGATCTGTGAACGCAGTACAATTTCATTTATGTAGTGCATGATTTATAGTCACCTTTTCTTTGTGATGTGTCTGATCTTGCATGAGAGCAGTGCCTGGTTTATTGTCACTTGTTGTTTGTGATCTGTCTATGAAGCAGTACTATTTTATGTAGTGCATGGGATGTAATTACTGATTGTCTGTGTTCTGTCTAGTGCTCCACTGGGGGATAATGTGGGGATAGTGCAGCCACCACCTACTGAGCAGATTAGGATCTTTTTCCCATTCATATTGAGACAGATATTTATTTTAAAAAAAAAATATCAGTGCTTCAAAGTTAATCCAACCATAAAATGAAGATAACATTATATTTCACTGTATCTCATCGTGTGAATACTACAGTAACAACTGAATAAAGTAATGCAGATAAATACACCCTTTCAACAATACAAAATCAACTGCATTCAAAGGCAACTGCCATTTTACCAGAATAAACACAGATTTATAACCGGATCTCTTGACTGCACAAATCTGGACAGAAATATTTTTTTAGTGGCCGCTTCACCAAACTGTAGAAGTCTGCGAGAAGTTCACATATAAAGCATTTGTGTTTGTGCTTTCTTAATTAGAATTTACAACGAGGAAACATTGTTTTGATTTGATAAAATTGAATGTTTAATCTTTGCTTCCAGACTTAATGTGACACACGCCTGCTGTATACTTTTATCTCTAATCCGTCGGTCCTGTCTTGCAGTGCTGGGTTAAGTGTGGCTTCAACAATACAGCGGGAGTCCAGGACCTTGAAGGCATTGGTGCCCGCCACATATGGTCAGCGTGGTGGAGAGTTTGAGCGAGATCTAGAGGAAAGCGAATCTGTGTGTTAGCATCCGCAAACTGATCTCCTGGATATCGTAATCAGATGACATATCTCTGTAAGAGATTATAGTAGTAAATTTTTGTTAGATATACTGAATCTCTGTCAATCTTTTAAATGTTTCCAGATAGCCCAAAATTTGTCATACATAAAATTAATGAGTACTTTTAAGGAAATAAATTTCATTGATACCATAAATAGTAAATGTATCTCTGTAAGGGATTAAAATAGTGAATCTTTTTAGGTATAAAACTACTATATCTCTACAAGATATGTTTTTTAACGATTTTTGATTTAAGTAATTTAAGATTGAATTAATGAGTACTTTTAAGAAAATAAATTTCAATGATACCATAAATAGTAAATGTATCTCTGTAAGGGATTTAAATAGTGAATCTTTTTAGGTATAAAACTACTATATCTCTACAAGATATGTTTTTTAACGATTTTTGATTTAAGTAATTTAAGATTGAATTAATGAGTACTTTTAAGAAAATAAATTTCAATGATACCATAAATAGTAAATGTATCTCTGTAAGGGATTTAAATAGTGAATCTTTTTAGGCATAAAACTACTATATCTGTACAAGATATGTTTTTAACGATTTTTGATTTAAGATTAGGATTAACTGATTTCCTCAAGCATATCTCTATTAGGCATCATAATGGGAATATTCGTTAGATTAAATAATTACTGAATCTGTGTAACATCTTTGCAAGATAAGACCAAACAATAATTACTGAATAAGATAATTTTAAAAAATATGTGCTTATTTGTAATGTATAAAACTACTGTATCTTTCTTATATAAGTGACTTAAGAAGGTCTGTAAAATATATTTTTTAAATCTTTGCTCCCTGTGTGAGTTCCAGGGGTCCTATTTTGGTGTTTAAAAAGATAGTCCAACTGCCCCACCAGCAAACATGTTGCAAAAGGTGACTAATTTAGGAGTGTTTCCTTAAGATTTGGGGTGTTTTCCTTGAACAGTATAGAAGAATTATATTAGGGCACCCCTAAGGTTAGGAAGTAACCGGCAGATGGGGGGGGGGGGGGGGTGATATACCTAGTTGTATAATGCTGTCTTTTATTTTGGATTATAGAAACATTCTTTCGGCTTGCTTCATTACCTTGGTGGCAGGCTTTCACAACCTGAGCTTGCATGTTATAGCTTTAGGAATGTAAGTTTATAATTATTTTGGCTTACTTTGGCACCCTTGTTGGGGTTTTGTTTAGTTGTCCCCCACTTGATGTTTGTGTTCCAGTAGTAGTTTTAGTCTTTGTAGTGGTAGTAGCAGTTTTTGTAGTAGTAGAGTTATAACAGTAATAGTTGGAATAGGAGTAGTAATAGTTATAGCTATAGCAGTACTAGTAGTTACAGTAGTAGTGATGTTAGTGACCACAGAGGTAGTAGTCATAGTAATGGTGGTAGTAATAAAAGTCGTTTCAATGTGGGGATAGTGGTGTTGGTGATGGTAACAGTAGTAATAATTGTAATATTGCAGTAATCATTGGGTCTTGCTAGTCATACTCGCCATCACCATTAGCTGTGAGTCCCATGCCTCAAAGCGCAGTTTTACACTATCATCTGGAAAGACGGAGAGGTAGCAGTGAATAGTAGTCATGATAGCAGTAGTTGTGATAGTAGTAATAGCAGTCTGAGGAAGAACAAAGAACGTCTGAACAAAGCCTTTTGGAAGGATAAGGCAAATCTGGAAATCCAACAATTACTGCAGAGGAACGAAACTCCGACTCTACAAGAGCATCATTTTGCCAGTTCTTCTTTATGGAGCGGAATGCTGGAGAATGACCAAAAAGGATGCACACAAGCTGTCCACCTTCCACCACACATGTCTACGTAGAATTATCAAAATTTTCTGGCCAGATACAATCTCAAACACTAAACTACTTCAAACCACAAACCAAGAAACTTTAGACAGTATGATTACCAAGAGAAGATGGAAATGGCTTGGCCACGTTATGAGAATGACTTCTGATATACCTGCCAAAACAGCTCTCACATGGACACCAGAGGGAAAGAGAAAACAGGGGCGCCCAAAAACAAGATGGAGACGAACGATGGAAAGTGACCTGAGTGCGGCATCTTTGACATGGAAAACTGCACTGAAGATTGCACAGGACAGGAAAGCATGGAAAGTCCTCTCTGAAGCCTCATGTGCCACTAGGCATAACGAGAACTGATGATGAGGAAGAGGATAAGTATATCCTTCCATCTAAGGCATTGGTTCTCAAACTTCCTAATTCAGCGACCCTTTAATACAGTTCCTCTTGTTGTGGCGACCCCAAATTATACAATTATTTTTGTTGCTACTTCATAACTTTAGTGAGTTTGTATTTTCCAGTGGTCTTTGGTGACCCCTGTAAAGGGGTCGTTTGACCCACAAAAGGGTCAGGACCCACAGATTGAGAACTGCTGATGTAAGGGGTGGAGCTTTGATTAATGAGCCACCCGTCTGGGCTCCAAGGCCCTATTATGGGGAACACAAAAATAGACCCCAACAAGCATGTCCTACGGGTTAACTAATTGGGGACATCATTCAAAGTCAAAGTACCTCTGCCTGTGTGGCAAGGAACCAAAAGTCTGCATGCAAATGAGTCAGACCTGTGAAACAGATGTGCACGCAACACTCGGTTTCCTGTGGACGAACAACCATAACTTTCCAACAGAGTTTAAAGCCGTTGAACATGAAAAAGAAGAAGAAGAAGAAGATTGTTTTTTTTTTCCTGTATTAATTTCTGCAAGCCTCTTCTCATTTGTAGTCCTCTCAGAACCTCTGCATTTAGACTGTTTTGTTAGGAACAGTGGGTTCATTCACTCCCCCCCCCCCCCTCCTCAAATGAAACCTCAGAACCCATACAGAGAAGGCATGAAAGTTAAGAGGCCTGAAAGTTGGCAGGGGTTCAGGTTACTTCTTGTTAGGGCTGTACCGAATATTCGCTTCGGGGCCGAATAGTGGACCTAATAGCTATTCGGTATTCGACCGAATAGTGGCGTTCGGGCCGAATACAAATAGTGATTTCTGCATACACTGCAATGGACATTAACACAATAGTTGCCGTTGCCGAAGTTTGTCCACAGCCTTCTCCAGACTGAGTTGGCCGTAGTCTTTGCCTTTGTTTTACAGAACAATGCGGGAGCCCGAAGACAACTTATCACAGACATCAGAAGGAGACAGTCATCATTTTTCGGCCATGTTATGAGAAGAGGGAAAATGGAACATGTGGTGACCACTGGAAAAATCTGTGGATGGAGAGATAAAGAAAGACAACGAGAGAAGATTCTTGACAGTCTTGTTGCATAGCATGGAGGGGTGTCAGCACAAAATTGATACATGCTGCAGGAGATCGCAGATTGTGGCGAGGTAAAATCGCCAACGCCAGTCGGCAAGGCACCTGATGATGATGATACACTATTCGTATTCGGCCGAATAGTGAAAATCACTATTCGGTACAGCCCTACTTCTTGTGGCCTCCTGTAAAGAGAGTGATGTTCTGCAAAGGATCTTGTACATTATGATGATAGTGATGAAGATAAGAGTATGCATTCAGCTAGCAGAAGTATTCTATAGTGTGGATAATTTGCAAAGCTTGTAACAATAATTTAATATCACTGTTCAGTAATTGTTTGCTGTATTCTATCCTTGGTCATCAGTGCTTTGGCACTGCACATTGCTGATACATTACAATGTTTTCTCGAAAATAAGATGCTTCAAAAGATGCCTTAACACTTAATTTCAGGGAGATGGTATATTTTTTATCATGTATAGACATCTACATTTTTATTATGATTTATTTAAAGCTTTAAGTTATTATCATTTCAACCCAATAATATTATTTATTTTTGCATTTATTACTTTAGTATTCAATATGTCTATCATGTATTTCAAGAAAAAAATATTTCAGTCTGGCTTAACTGGAGCTTACTTTTGAGATAAGGCTCATATTATGAGTATGAACATCCTAACAAATAATACTAGGGCTTCTTTTATCTGCTAGAGTATATTTTTAGTTAGGTCTCATTTTTGTATAAATCATATGTTTTATTTGAACATGATGGCTTTTTATATAATCTTTGTGAAAGCTTTGACTAACCCTGTTTTGATAATTTTGAATTGAGAAAACACATCCGCTCAAGGCAAATAAAGTAAAATTTTACTAATCAAAGATTAATAAAATTGTAATAATCAAAGATTAACAGATTAATAGTCTGAGCTTGACAATGGTGCCATAATTTCTTCTTATTCTATTTTTACACTTAAAAGTGCAGTTGGTATGTTGTGTTGCGGTTTATAGGAAGTTGGTAATATCTGCACCTTTTGGCCAAACACATTTTCTTTGTCTTTGCATTCACCGGCTGTAAACTCTGGCGAACATTTCTTGTTGCTCATCCATCTCCGGACTTTTTTTTTCTTGTTCCAGAACCTGTGTTTGCCTGCACGTATATGGCTTATTTGTATGCAGGCTGTTGGTTCCTTGCCTCTCAGGCAGATGCACTCTGACTTTGAAAGATATCCCCATAATGCTTGTTGGGGAGGCACTATTTTTGTTTTCCCCACAGTGGGCCCCCCGAACCCACCCAGGGACAACATGTCTTATCCCAGCAAACCCTAATTAGCTGCCTTTTATGACATACTTGTTATTGGGACAGTGGATGGATTGTTATCTGGAATATGCAGTAGAGATGTGTGTGATGATAAAGTTGTATAGAAAATAACGAGACACCTTGTAAATACACACTGCGCGGTGGTGGATGTGACAAGAGCTTTTTGTTGTCCTTCAAAACAGGCATGCGCGCAATATTATTTAAGTGTTAAAAAAAAAAATGGACAGTGGTGCTTTGAGTAACGAACCTAATTTCTTCTTTGACTGTTCGCAAACCAAAATGTTCGGACCTGATACAATTTATCCCATTGAAATAAATGCAGATCCAATTAATCCAATGGTTTTTGCCATTACTTTTTTTTTATGGTAGCAGAAATAGATAATATAACT